TACTACTCTCTCTCTCCTCCTCCTCCTCCTCCTCCTCCTCCTCTCTCTCTCTCTCTCTCTCTCTCTCTCTCTCTCTCTCTCTCTCTCTCTCTCTCTCTCTCTCTTTCTTCAGATATTCTTTCTTCTTTCTCTTAAATTTTTCCCTTTGAGGATTGGCATAATCGAATCGTCTTTCTCATGCAAATCGCTAATCCGAATGATAATCTCGAGTGGAAAGGTGAAACCATTTCTCTCGACGGGGCTCATTCGTGCTTCGGGATCGATGCGATGAAGCAATCTCAGAATGGCGTCATTGTTCCATTCGTGAATTTTAAACGTGAATTTTTATAAATCAATCGTGATCACGTTTTTTTTTTTCGCGCGAGTGATGACTATCAATGTTCTTTGAAGAAATTAAGGTAAAGGCGGTTTAATAAATTATTTCTCGTCGCTCTTTCGCGAAATCTTTTGAATTAATCGATCGAATTTTGCCCGTGTAAATTGAGACTATAAAGTTACGATTCTCTATTCTCTCGAGCAGATCGAAGTTCGGGAGCAGCTCAACGTGATCGTTACATTAACTGTCGTTTAACTGTCGTGTCTTATCGAAGCAAGTCGCCCGCAGGTGTACGTGCTATTTAATGTCTGCAGCTGGGCGCAACTTTTTCCGACCTCTGGTTGGAGAATAATTCCGGATGTCATTATAGATATCTTCGCATCTCGGCGATACCATTCGCGCCTCGGAAAGACGGGGATAATTGATCGCGGCGCGCTCGGCGCTCGGAAAATTTTTTGGTAAATTAAACGCGACCTTCAGCTGGAAACAATGCACCGTCAAATTTCCGACAAATGACATCGCTTCATCGCGATGAATTTTACAATAAATTTTGTTATTGCGTCTAAAGCACGAGTTAATTTATCGATCCTGGCCGTTTTTTAGTTGTCACGCATAATTCTGGCTTTTATTAATGCGTGATGGATTTTTGAAGTTTTAAAGTGACGAAAAGATATAACGCTTTAAAATGTTGCGCGTAGATAAAGTAATCCACCTGCAGTCAGAAATCTTTTAGAACGACGATAAGCTTTATGCACTGCAGATAATTTTATGCATACACGTGAGTGGTATGTATATAAGACTTCCTTAAGATGGAAGAGAGAGTTCAATGTCATCGTGATCTACTCAGCATTTTATAAGCTTAAGGAAAAATAACAATCTGCAAATAACTTTTTAACTTCAAGATTGAATCTCTTAAGTTTTTCATTATTCGGTTTATCGACCCAAAATTAAAAGATTTGCTGTTACATAATCTGCTTTTTTTTAGGAACTTGAGAGATGGGATTTAAACGTAATTTTCTTAATTATAAGATTGATGTCAAGTTTTTAAAAAAGCAGATTAAACTATTAAAACTGTCGCATTAAACTTTTCGATCTTTTGATCTTTCGAACTTTTGATCTTTTTTTTTGTGAACAGAAAAAAGAAAAGAAAAAAGTCTTTAAAGAATATTTAGATAATGTCTGAAAAATTAAAAGATCTTCAGGAATTTTTCTTAAAAGATCTCGGATTTTTCGGACAGATGAAGAACATCCAGTGACGTTCGAAAGATCGAGACCTCGTTTGGTCGTTGTCGGAATTATTTCTTTTTTCCGCAACGACAGGCGTCATATCCATGTATTATACCAAGTCGTAATTGCCTATCGTACGACGGCAATGTAATCGAACACGGAAGTACGTGGCTTCGTGCACACGACCCCGTCGTTCCCCCCTGTCCTCCCCCTCCCCCCCGTTAACTCGCGTTGCGCCACGGCGCGAAATACGAGATGGGGCTCGATATCGCGCGGAATTAAACATGCGCGCATGCACGCCCGCTCTTTCTCTCGTTCCTTTTTATCCCCGACACCGTGACACAGATATCCTTTTGGACCTCCGGAATCATCGATCTCGCGGAATCCCATCCGGAATGGCTGCTGTTCTCCGGACCCTTCACTCCTTCCGTCCTTTATGGATTATCGTCTTTAGTCCTCTCATTAAAAGTGAACTTAAAAAAAGTGAGCTTAACATTCCGCTTTTAATAAAGAGCAGAATTTTAATAAAACTTAACGAATAATTTCCTCTTTTAAGATCTCCGTAACATCCAAAGATTAAAATTTACAAATATTTAATAGAGTTCTATTCTTATAATTTTACGCGAAAAAGAGATAATTAAACGGTTTAATTAAATTAATTAAAACTTTAGAAAAAAGGAAGCAAATGATGCGACCTATAACAATAACGATTTTAGCTTAAGAACATTTTAACACGAAATTTAATTCAAAATACATATAAAATGATTGCCTTTGAGATATTTTTTAAAGAAAATATCTCAAATTGCATTAGCCGAGAAAGAAAGAAATACAAGCCATTAAAGATTAAGAACAAAGTGGAGGTGGAACGTATAAATTTAACTCGTGCACACCTTCGAGAGTAGTTACGGCGAAAGTTTAATTAAACGAGCAAATAGTGAGACAGGGACGTCAATTAATTGCAACTTTCCGACTCTATTTGTGCAGGTGGGATAAATAAGCGAGAGAGAATGGTATAATCATGATTCAAGCTGGAAACGATCCTGAGGAGAGTTTAGCAGCTCGGATGTCCTGTATACACTGTATACAACGGTGACACAGCTTCACACACATAAAACACAGGCATGGATATACAAAAGAAGTTTCTGTGCCCCCGTTTGGTGGATTATCTCGCCATCGTGGGGGCCAGGATGCCCGCCGCCTCTCGTCAGCCCGTACAGGTATAACAATGGGGAACATTAGAATCCTCCAATTATTTGCAAAAATTAATGTTTCCATATTTACAGGATTCTGTTCTATTTATGAAATCTTGTACTTTTAATCCGTTTATTTAAATTATGTTATTATTAAATTTAATTATTATATTTAAATTCTAATTTCAAAATTAGATTGTAAAAAAAGAATTCCGATTCCGAGGAAAGAGAATAATGATTTTTATTAAAAATAATAAAGGTCCCAGAGTTGCTACGCAGATATCCGGTGGAGGATCACAAGGATTTTCCTCTGCCTTTGGATATGGTATATTTCTGTCAACCGGAAGGTTGCAGTAGCGTGGGACCGAAACGGACAGCTTTACGAGAGGCGACGTCTTTCACTTTCACCCTCACCGACAAAGATTCAGGTTCGTGCCTTTTCTAATTGTGAATAAAGTGATTAAAATTCGCATTGCATTGTAAAGTGATATTTTGATAAACGCAGGAAAGACGCGTTACGGGATCTGTGTGAATTTTTATCGACCTACGGAGAGGACGGGGGTTGTGGCTGGCACGGGGATAGCGCTCAAGAGAGAAAAGTATAACACCACTTTTCGCAGAGAAAGTTGGCGGAAGAGTATGGAGAGAAGCACGGATTCCGCTTTTTCTAGGTGAAATGCCTTATAATTATTAGCCCTCCTCTAATTACAGCAATTAATAGAATATCGATATACTTTTGGCATAATTATATTTTGACATAGAAGTTATAAAATGGGCAATAAAATCTCTTTTTTTCCTAAAACTGAGATTTCAAAATTTCTAAAATCAAAAGATAAATCTTTCTTATATAGTATAGTTCTTATATAGTGTTTTAAGCGGCCCAAATAAATTGCGTGCAATACGCAATACGCGCTCGACAAAATGCTCCGTTTATAAGACTGTATCTCTAGCCGTTCGTTATAGCGACTATAGGAGCAGTGCGGTGGGTCCTAGTGACTCTGAGAGAGATTGCTCTAGTAGTAGGAGGGATTCGGACACTCCGCAGGTGCCTCACGCCCCGAGATTGGAATTCATCGCACCAAGCGGAGACAGCGAGAGCGGCGGCAGTCATTCCCCCTCGCCACGCGCATCTCGAAGACGTCAGGTCGATATCACTAATGAAATAACACATTGCATTTGAAATAGTTTTTGTCATCAATAATAAATTTCTTTAAAAACTATCTTAGAAAAGTTGAAAATATATCATATCAATAACTAATTTCTTTCATAAAATATCTTAAAAAAATTGATGTTATGTTAATTGATATATGTACATAAAAGTGGCATTAAAGTTTGTTAGTAAATTCAATAATTTTGCAATATTTTTGCAGAGAGTTCGCAATCATTCTTTAACTTCGCTATGCATCATTTCACATCATCCTTTCTTCTCGATGTTTCGGGAGTGTCTTTTCGTTTTGAAGAAGATCATTGACGCGTGCAACGAGAGTTTCTCGCCGCAGAAAGTCGGAGCATCTCGGCAGACGAATAGGTTCGGATTTTATCTTCAATTCTACACAATATTTTACTGAAAGGGCAAGATCCATGAAAGTTTAGAAAGACTTTTACATTCCTAATTAAACTTTCCTCGTTACAGAGATACAGTTTGGAGCGTTTTGACGGGACAGGCTCTGGGCGACACGCCATCCATCGTGCTTCACGACGTTCGTGAGATCGAGACATGGATACTGCGTTTGCTCAGCAGCCCCGTGCCTGTCCCGGCGAAAACGCGTGTCGAGGTCGAGATAATATCATCGAATATGCAACCCCCACTGTGCTTCGCTCTGCCGGACCACACGAGATTCTCATTAGTCGATTTTCCTCTGCATCTACCATTAGAGCTCCTCGGCGTCGACATATGTCTCAAAGTGCTCACACTGATCCTCCTAGAGAACAAGGTAAATAAATGTAAAACGTTCCTATACCGAAAGATTATAATGTATCAAAAAACAAGCCAGAGAGGGTGTTACTTAGTGGTGATGTGACTAGTGGATTAGATTTTAGAAATTTTAGAAATTTAATAAGCCTTTAATTATTGAATTTATATAAATCCTAAAATATAAATATAATATATATAAATAATATAAAAATATAAAAAAATATATAAATATATATAAAATATATATAAATAAAAAATATAAATAATATATATAAATATATATAAAATATATATAAATTCTATAAATTCTAAATAATCGCTAATAAACTGTACAGTGTTACTTTTAACAAACTTGAAAACGCGACAGCTTAAAGCTAAAATCTTTAATAAATTGATAGTTTATGAAAATTTATGAAAATTAATTTATGAAAATTGATTCTCCTTCCATCCTTCTTCTTTTGGAAATTTAATATAACGTATTTTTAATATAACATATATTTTTATTATCTGTATCTTTGAATGTCTAGAGCTACAACTGGCGCCATTTCTTTCAGATCGTACTTCAATCTCGGGATTACAACGCTCTTTCCATGTCGGTCATGGCATTTGTCACAATGATCTATCCGCTGGAGTATATGTTTCCTGCGATACCCTTGCTACCCACGTGCATGAGCTGCGCGGAACAATTATTGCTCGCCCCAACACCCTTCGTCATAGGGATACCCGCGTCCTTCCTACTCTACAAGAAGAACTTCAAAATGCCCGATGATATCTGGCTAGTGGACTTAGATAGCAATAAGATAACGGCGCCAAGCGCTTTGAGCGAAGACAGTTTGCCGCCGTTGCCAGAACCAGAGGGTACTATCCTGAAGAACCATCTAAAGCAGGTAATACAATACCGTCAGTGTCACATAAGTGACGATATAGACTTCCGTCATAGACTTTCGTTACTACGAAATTAAAATGATGAAAAGTATTTAATAATTCCTTACCCTCACCGCAGGCAATGCAACTGATGGATCAAGTTGGCTCTAGTGTAAATATTTCACTAATTCTCAATCCGTTTGGTGGCGTACCCTTTGTTTCGTAGTTAGTCGCATGCATGATTTATCACGTGTAGAGTCGAGTCGATTTTAGTCACATACCTTTGCTGAAATGATATAAAATAGACATCTCAAGCAAATATAAGTTTAAAGATAGCAATTGAAAAAGAATCTTTTCGTTGAATATTGACAAATTTAGTCGATATCAAGTAAAAAAATGTTTTCCTAACGTTCTCGTCTCCTTTTATTTGTAGATTAATGATTTAGTCAAAGTAGAAGTAGCAACGGAGCAAAAAGCTGTAATGAGCATTACGTTGAATTCCATATTAATTTATCATTTAATAAATTTCCAGGCGATGGCCAATATGACATATCCTCCGTTGCCCCTGCAAGACACCTCACCGCGTCTATCTTTTCAGGCGCCCAGCAGAAGAGAAAGCACGGCCTCCCATCATTCCAACTTAAGGTATGTCTATACGTCGAAGACCTAGTCATACCAACATTATTCTGATTTTAAGCGAGATTAAAAATTTTGAATTTATTATATATACCAAAGCAAAAGCGACATCTAAAGTACGTTAAAACTTGCGCCTATTTATTTTTATTAAGATTAATATAAGATAAGCAAATTAAAGGTTTTGTTTTTGCAATAAATTTAAAATGTTAAAAGTATCGTTGGTGCTATTACAAGATATTTAAATATTTTCATTTATTGCTAAATATTTGTTACTATATTGAACGCTAATAAAATCGGTTACTTTATAGCGTAGCGTCAACGAAGCACAGACCGAGCATCGACCAGTGCGCGCACGTTCAACACATCCCGTTGAATTCCCCTGGCATGAGCTCGTCGTCGAGTCCCCCTCGTCGGCAATCAATGTCGCAGACGATCGGTGGATCCGGACCGGCCGGTCCCTATCCGCCAAAGATGGCCGGGCAAAGCCCAGCACCGTTTAACCCCTTCATTTATGGGAATGACGTAGACTCGGTGGATATCGCCACGCGGGTCGCCATGGTGCGATTCTTCAACTCGCAGAACCTGTTAGCCAACTTCACCGAGCACACGCGCACCTTGCGGCTGTATCCCCGGCCGGTGGTGGCCTTCCAGATCAACTCGTTTCTTCGCTCGCGACCCAGGAAAAGCAGCTTCCTCAACAAGTTCGCGCGCACGCAAGCGGTCGAGTTCCTGGCCGAGTGGTCTCTCACGCCAAGCAATGTGGCCTTCCTCCGAGTGCAAACCGGAGTGTTCGATCCCGCGCAGATCGGCGACAAGCCGCGCTGGTACGCGACCAATCTGGAGCCGATCTACTTTCCCGTCTGGGATTCCGGTAGCTCACTAGCGAACGCCCTGAAGGCGATGAGGGAACATGAGACTCAACCCACAGACGAAAGCGGTTCTGACTCTGAAGGTGCCGAGAGCACCAGCTCCTCTTATTCCTCCTTGAGCGATTTTGTCTCCGAGATGGCATCATCCGATTTGTCGCCGGGTGAGAATTTTATAAGGAAGAAAACTTTATGTTTAAAATTTAATTTTAGACATTATTTACGAGATATTTTAATATTTCTACGATGTAATATAATTAGTATTTTTGAATATGTTTTATCATTTCTCGCAGGTTACAATTGTCCGCAACTGAGCCAGCCCCAACAAATGTCGCTCTCGGTGGATCCGAAGAACGTCTACAATCCACCGAGTTCTCTGCAATATCCGGGAGTCGAGGAGGACTCATCAGAGCGCCGACTTGAAAGTCCGCCGAGTACATCTTCTAGTCACAGCGATCTCAGTAGCCCGAGCTTTAATCGGGATTCCGAGCTCGAGTTAAATCCGAAAGTTCACGAGGGTTCGCAATCTACTAACGTAAGTACGCAAGCTTCCCTTGCAATCCCTTCTTTTTTTATTCTCTTTTTTTTTTACATGCACTATTTTCTTACTATTTCTAAATATGATACTTTGTTGTACTCATGTAATTATGATTTACGTCGTACGACATAAATCATATCGCACGCACGACATTAAGATCTAAAAATGGACGGAAATTTCATGGTTTCGTAACATGTGTGACGCATAATAGCAATATTAAAAAAATGCTCAATGTATCATCTATAAGCGATAATGGATCCTTCACATACGTCGAATAATTAGCAGATCTTTTCTAATTCTGTAAATCGGTACGTAATGATTCGTGCATAAGTACGATACCTACGAAATACTCCCAAATAGCGTTACGCGAAAAATCTTGAAATAGCACCGGTCTACGGCTAACGAATAGCTTGATTATAGGATAAAGAGGAGGGTGGTAGCTTTGAGTCAGACTCCGCGTCGACAATAACACCGCGCACTATCCTGAGCGCACAAAGTTCGGTAGGACAGTTCACAGGGATAAGCATGGGATCTTTAGGCACTCAGTCTTCGCTCAACGAAACTGAACGTCCTACCACACCTCACAGGACCTCGCGTATCAGTAGATATGTCACTCCTGTGAGTCATCTCCATATGTAACTTTAGCTCTGTCACTTTCGAATGTGTCTTCTCGGTATCATTCTGTGTCATTCGAGTTGATGCATGATAGAATTAAATTGAATAGGAAGGAGGGAATTTATGGGAGAATGTGTGAAATGTTTTCGCTCGTCTCTCTCTCTCTCTCTCTCTCTCTCTCTCTCTCTCTCTCTCTCTCTCTTTTCTACGTGTTTCTCATTAACAGTATTGTTTGAGGGGAATGTTAGCTTCTCATCTCTGATTTGCGTTTTGTTTCAAAAGTTTGGCACATTTTCACGATTATTTCGATACTGCCGATACGTTTTGCGAGATATCTATCCGTTTGAGTATTTCTTGCACGCTCATTTTTTGCACCTTCACATAATGATCCTCATTCACGTTCTATAGTTGATATTAAATGTGATTGCGTGATTCAGTTATGAGTTCCAATCTGTATCTCGCACTATTTTCTCTCAGCATGAAACGAATGAATGAGATTTATTATGATGCACATATTCTTTTCACTTTATTCTCATCTTTATTCTCAGATACGTTGTTGTACATTTATGCTCGTGTAATGTTATACATTTCTTTCTCATGCGACCGAGAGACACAATACACGATACACATAGAGACATTTACATATACATCTTCTCATCTTCTTGCCAACAAGTTCACGAGTTTAGACTCTTGTGTGCGATTATTATGGGTTTCAGAAACACCATCAGTATTTTTAACATACAGAGTGTCCCGAAAAGATCGGGATCCCTGAATATCTCGAAAAAGTTTTACAGAAAAGTATTTTGAATAAAAGTTGTAAGGTTTAAAAAAATCTATTAATCTTATCAGTTTGATTTTGGGTGGACATGCCAAAATTATATAGAGGTCAAACATAGTTGCTGTTTAAAAAAAAATGTTGATTTGCAATGTGCAACGACATATCTTTTTTTAAAAATAACTATATATTTTTTTACACCAATTGATTCATCTAGTTATTCTCTGCATGAAAGTATTAAGATATAGTTGCCAAAAAGTGAATATTTTACGAGATATTTTATACTTTATGTCAAATTGCTTCATATCAAATTCAAGTCATAACTCAGAAGGTACTTACTAAAAAAATACTTTATTATAGTGTTTTGAAGGGTCAATTACAAGAATATGTAATAAAAAATAAGAGTTTTTATTTAAAAAAACAAAGTTGATCTTTATATGATCTTGGCACGTCTATCCAAGGTCAAACTAATAAATTCGGTAAATATATAAATTGTTTTAAACCCTACAACTTTTATTTGAAACACTTTTCTATAAAACTTATATTTTTTGAGATATTCAAAGGTCCCGACCTTTTTGGGACACCTTGTATAGAGATGTGCAGAGATGTAATGTACTATTTAAATTACAATGAAACGTACAATGACTCTTTTGTAGCTACAAATTGTGTCGTCAAGTACAACTTGTTTTATCTAGAATTGTATTATTTCAACATCTCTTCTTGAAGCATGACTAATTTTGTTGCTTCATCTCTTGAATTAAAATCATGGTATAAGTATTTCGTAAATTGTGTCGATTAATATTGTGATATTCAGAGGCAAAGGGCACTATTTTATTATAAAGGATCTTTTTTTATAATAATCCCGCGTGCTTTAAAAATTTTCTAATAACATTACAAGCATTTCTCTACTGATTTTTCTACTTTTCATAAAAAAAATCTTTATTATAAGACACGCGGGGTTAGAAAGAATTCTGATTCTTGCAAGAAGAATGTCTGTCTTCAAGAAGATAGAGGATAGGCACGAACATTCGCGTACTCTTTTCCAGGTGCCACCCACGGGACCGGGTCTCCAACGTCAACCGAGCGTCGGCAATGTTTTGGCGAGGACATCCAGCTTCAATACCGCCGGACCTCTCCTGCCGCGGCAGATAAGTGCGGCCACTACCGTTGATCATCATCATCACGAGACGACGATACAGCTTCAGCGTCAGGCATCGGCGGGACCGACGATCACGCCGAAACAGAGTAACGACAACGCAGCGGTGCAACGGCAGAACAGCGGTGGCAGTACCACTGGAAACGGTGTTCTTCGGCAGGGCTCGCAGGGTTCCCTATTCGAGCAGATTGCCAGCCAGGCGAAAGACTTAGTACGCGAGACCACGAGACAGAGCAGCCAGGACGGGTTACTCGCACACATGGACAAGGTACCGCAAGGAACGATAGAGCATGCGACGATAGAGCATCCAATCCAGTTTCTCATCCTTTCTACAATTCATATAATTTCCTGTTTATCGCAGCTGAAGCATCAGGCAAAAGAAAAAATTACGGAGGCAGGCGAGGATAGTCTGTTCGCACCGTTGGAACAAGTATGTTTTCGCGAGACGGTGTAGAACGGAATAAAAACGATGTGTAAAAAAATCGAAATATATATTTAATCTATCTTCTTTTTATTCCACATCGATTAGTTGACGCAACAAACGAAGAAAGCGATGGGCGAGGCTACCAAATCGGTGCAAGAGGTGTCGAAGACCGCTTTGGAGGCGAGCAAAACCGCGGCGGGTGTCAGCAAAAACACGTTGGACGATTTGACGTATGTCGGCAAGAGCACGTTAGGAGACCTGACGAAAAGTGCCAAAGAAGTCGCCGCGAAGAAGGGCTTGCTCAAGGTACGCGAGATCTTTCTCTCAACGAGGAATATCTTGTTCTAACAGAAACGCGCTACAACATAAAATTTTTAAAGCACATTGGTTCATCGAATATGCTGTTGCATTTAGGGCCTGGGAGAATCGCAACAATCACCAGTACACTCGCCGCAATCTCCCAATACACAACAGCGGAAGGATTCGGTCAGCAATCAGCTGGTCGCATCGGATACCCGAGGAGTCGGGCGAGACTTTTTCAGCAATATTAGCAGCGATCTGAACGGCTTTGCCGCGCAGACCAGCAGCATGTTCAGTGATTTATTCGGTACGCTTTAGTCTCAATTTTTTGATTATTAAACTGCGAGACATTAATTAATAATTAAACATTCTGAACTTATAGATAGATGAATATTTTATTTCTTCAACGTATATAGCCAAGAATGAACTTGGTTTACAATCTTAGCTTAATCTCACACATATATCCATATCTTAGAGCTCGTGACTAGACTTGCATTGTCTCTTTGACTTATAATTACAATTAGCTTGTTGTGTGTGTGTGTGTGTGTGTGTGTGTGTGTGTGTGTGTATCCTACATATTATATTATTCCATATTCTATATTACATTTCTTTTCACTGCATACTGTATTATACTATCGCGTCTTCTTTATCTCTATTTTATCTCTCTTTTCCTTTTTTGACTTTTTTTCTCTTTCTTTCCAATATTAATTTCTACAATATGTCTTCTTTTGTTTTATTTAAATCCTCGGATCACATATTCCCTATATTTCCTTTTCTTTACCTAATTTCTTAAACCAACTTCTTATCTTATTACAATCTTTTACATAGTGCTCAATACAATCCAATTCCTCTTCCCAGAAAATGCTAATTTTATAATGGTTAATAGAAAAGCTTTAAGAACTGTATAAGTATTAATAACAAATGTAATATTTTTAGTAAAAAAAATGTATATACATTTTTTTAAAGGAAAGAAAATTAAAATTGTATCTGATTATCTATATTTTTCTTTACGTATTTATAAATTTTATTATAATTAGAATTTAATATTGAAGAAAAAGAGAGTAACGCATTTTAAAGAATAAAAATAAATTTGTATCCGATTTTTAGGTAGTAAAAATAATTCCAATCGAGGCAGTAGCTTCTTCCCGCAAAATCAGAAATCGAAGGAGAAATCCAATCCAATCCTTGGACCATTTCCTAAAGGTAAATATTAATAAGGCGTTTTTAATTAATATCTTACATCTGAATATTAAATTCAGTACGACAAAAAGATTCATCGACAGTTGCAGGAAAAACAGGACTGGTAGAACGTTCCTCGTTGATAAAACATTCTTCGCACAAAGTTAATCAAGAAGATGCGCAGAGAATGCAGAACGCGGAACGTTCTAGTACAAACAGTGACAATCAAGCCTTTTTGAACGATGCAAGTATTCATAAATGTTATCCAAATATTATCCAAAAACAAATGATTGTCGTTTTACGATATTTTTTGTTCAATTTTACGATATTTTGACGGAACTTTTAGGTGGTGACACAAGTATTGGCTGGCGAAGGTGTTGGTTGGCTCAAATTGAACAGACTGAAAAAGCTAATGGAGGATGAAAATTATCGAGATTTGGTCGTGACGAAACTGAACAAGGGTCTAAATAGAAAGATTAGTCCGAATGATCACATTGATGATGTGGTAAAAATTTTATCTTACTTTGATAGAAATTATGTAATATTATATTTAATAAATTTACTTGATATTTCTCTCTCTCTCTCTCTCTCTCTCTCTCTCTCTCTCTCTCTCGTACGTACGTCGTA